AGGGAATTAAGAATGAGAAAAGGGCAAAATACTCATTGCTCTTTCTATACTTCTCTATTTTAAGAAAGTTTTACTCCAAGTACATATTTTAAAATGTGAAGCTAGAGTAAAGAAACATTTCTAATATATAAATAAAAATAAACAATACCCATTAAGACCACAGTTTGAGATGATGCTTATTTAAATGATTTTTTAATGATTTTAAATATAATCTGGGGAGTACATAATTGTTGGCATAGAGTCAATAAACACTTATAAATGAACCAAAGAACAATGTTACTAATGCACATTTGCTGTCTTTCCTCCCCAAAAATACAAGCTATGATTGTCTTTTCATACTCCCAACATCTGTACAAGGCAGAATAAGATTCTTGCTCTTTCCTTCTTTTCACATGTACTGATAGCAAAAACCAACCTCTTATATTTAATGCTTACGACTCATAAAGAGTTGCTAAGGCACAGAAGGTTTAAGGCATGTGCTAAAAATTACAGTTAATCTAAGTTACAGAGTCTAGCCCTAACCAGTTTGGCACAGTGGATAGAGCGTCAGCCTGTGGACTCAAGGGTCCCAGGTTCGATTCCGGTCAAGGGCATGTACCTTGGTTGCGGGCACATCCCCAGTAGGGAGTGTGCAGGAGGCAGCTGATTGATGTTTCTCTCTCATCGATGTTTCTAACTCTCTATCCCTGTCCCTTCCTCTCTGTAAAAAATCAATAAAATATATTAAAATAAAAATAACAATCATCATTCTCCCCTTTTAAAAAACAAACAAAAACAGAAACTAAGTTTACAGATTCAAGACAAAAATTCGTTTAAAATATCCTGAACTATTTTTTCAAGCTCAAAATGCACTTGTTAAATTAAATGTCTTAACTATTTCCACACTCAATATGATTCTTTTAAACCAGCGGTTCTCAACCTGTGGGTCGCGACCCCTGTAGGTCGAATGACCCTTTCACAGGGGTCGCCTAAGACCATCGGAAAACACATATATAATCACATATTGCTTTGTGATTAATCACTATGCATTAATTATGTTCAATTTGTAACAATGAAATTGGGGGTCACAACATGAGGAACTGTATTAAAGGATCGCGGCATTAGGAAGGTTGAGAACCACTGTTTTAAACTAAATGTATCCAATATAATAAAGGTAGTTTTCAGAAATTAGATTAAAAACAGAAAGGACAAAAAAAATAAGGCAAATGGTTCAACTAATAACAGACCTATTTTTCTGCTGTATTCCAGAAATGAAACTAAGGCTATGCTGAGTGAGCCCAGCCAAAGTTTGCTGACAGCACTGATTCAACTAACTTTATTGGACAAATACTTATTTGTTAGGTTAAATCCAATTCACTGCTAGATCTTATAGTTATAATACACAATAATTCCTACCCTCAATATCACACTACTTCACACAAGATAGTTATTTCATAGAAAAACCAATAATTTAAAAAAATGTTTTTAATTTATTCAAGATTGTTTTTTAAATAGAAGGATATTATAATAAAATGAAACTGCAGCAACAACAGAACACTAAAAACATTAACAGACCAATACAATTGCCACTAGGTGTCACTCTGATATAAAGTTCTTGGCTGTCTTTAGGCTTGCTTTTATACTTGGTCTTTTCCTAGTCTTTCCAATAACATAGAAACTGCATTTTCTTTATAGCATCTTTTTGCATTTTTAAATTGACACATATACAGAAAAATTAGTATTTATCCAGTTCTTTAAATAACAGTAGATGAACTATATCTAAAAACTAACAATTATATTACAGGTCACAAAATCTATATTATTTTTTAAATTTCCTATGGCAGATGAATTAATGTACATATAAATATATACATATACTCATTTATTGAGCCATTTAATTTTTCAACAGGTACTGCTTAGTGCCAAACACTGTGCTTAGAGAGAGAATTTGTAGAAGAATAAGACCTGGTCTTTAAAAAGAGAAACCTGAAATATAAAGAAAGAGTACGATATTTTAAAATCCATTTTAAAAGTCTCTATTACTTTTTATGGAATCACAGGAGACAAACCAACTAAACTATGTCCAAGGAAGTCAAGAAAGGCTCCATAAGTGGAAAAATTTACATGAGATAATCAAAGATGACTATTAGTTTTCTAAAAAAACTAATACAGGAAAGGACAAATGAAATAGAATATAGGAAACAGGGAAATCACTGAAAGATATATAGGAAGACTTGTACTCTAGAAAGATCATTATAGGGAAATTATGTAAAATACAGACAAGTCTACACAATGGGGAAAAGATAGTCTCTTTTAATAAATCATGCAAGGAAAACTGGGTATCTACACGCAAAAGAATAAGGTTGGACCTTTACCTTATACTATACACAAAAATTAACTCAAATTAAATACTTAAATATATGCTCTGAAACTGTACAATTCCCAGAAAAAAACTCCACAGCACTGGTCTTGGGAATGATTTATTGGATATGACATCAGAAGCATAGACAACAAAGGTATCAGACTAAGTGAGATTACCAAAAATCTCCTCTAAAGCAAAGGAAATAATCAACAGAGTGAAAAGGCAACATTCAGAACAGGAGAAAAAATTTTCAAACCATATATGTGACAGAAGTTAATATCCAAAATACATAAAGAAGTCCTACAGTTGCCGAAACCGGTTTGGCTCTGTGGATAGAGCGTCGGCCTGCGAACTGAAAGGTCCCAGGTTCGATTCCAGTCAAGGACATGTACCTGGGTTGCGGGCACATCCCCAGTAGGAGATGTGCAGGAGGCAGCTGATCGATGTCTCTCTCTCATCGATGTTTCTAACTCTCTATCTCTCTCCCTTCCTCTCTGTAAAAAATCAATAAAATATATTTAAAAAAAAGAAGTCCTACAGTTCAATAGCAAAAATGTAAAGAGCCCAATTTAAAAATGTGCAAGGGACCTGAAAGGACATTTCTCCAAAGAAGACATACAAATGACCAACAGGTATGTGAAAAAATGCTCAACATTACCAATTATCATGAAAATCCAAACCAAAACCAAAATGAGATATCATCTTCTACCTCATAAGATGGCCATTATATTTAAAAACAAAACAACAACAATTAAAAACTAAAAACCGAAAAACAGCAGTGTTTGCAAGGATGAAAAGTTGGAATCCCTGGGCACTATTGGTGGAAATGCAAAATGAAGCAGCTACTATGGAAAAAGAGTACAGAAGTTCTTTAAAAAATTAAAAATAGAACCTACATGATCCAGCAATTCCAATTCTGGGAATTTATCCAAAATAATGGAAAGAGGGGTCTTAAAAGAGGTATGCAATTACATGTTCACTACAGAATTATTCACAATAGCCAAGAGGTGGAAACAACCTGTCCATCAACAGATGAATGAATGAAGAAAATGTGACATATACATACAATGGACTATCATTCAGCCTTAAAAAAAGGAGGAAATCCCATAATATACTACAATACAAATAAACCTTGAGGATATCATACTAAGTGAAATAAGCCAGACATAGAAGGACAAATGCTGTATGATTTCATTTATAAGTGATCAAACTTATAGAAACAGAATGTAGAATGACCATTGCCAAAGGCTGGCCAAAGAGGAAAACGGAAAGTTGTTCAGTGTATACAATGTTTCAGTTACACAAAGTTGAACAGATCTGCTGTACACCAATGTGTATATAGTTCACAAAACTATCCTGCACACTTAAAATTTTGTTAAGAACTTAAATCTCATGTTATGTGGGGGTTTTTTTAACCACAATTTTTTTAAAATATATTTTATTGATTTTTTACAGAGAGGAAGGGAGAGGGGATAGAGAGTTAGAAACATCAATGAGAGAGAAACATCAATCAGCTGCCTCCTGCACACTCCCCACTAGGGATGTACCCGCAACCAAGGTACATGCCCTCGACCGGAATCAAACCTGGGACCCTTGAGTCCGCAGGGCGACGCTGTATCCACTGAGCCAAACCGGTTAGGGCTTTAACCACAATTTTTTAACGGAATGTATAAGAGAATAATTGAGGGCACAGGGATGGGCATGGGGAGGAATGGCTGGACTCGGAGAGGAATCTAGGCAGAAGAAGGAACAAGTACACAGGTCCTGAACCTATTAAAAAAAACTGAGTAAGTCCATTACAACTTAGACATAGTGAGCTATAAAGAGAATGATAACAGATGAAAACTAGAAATGTAGCAGGGACTTACAGCCCTTTTAAAAGATTTGAATTTTTAAAAACAATAGAAAGTTTCTAAATGGCTTTAAGTAAAGGATAACAATCTGATTCATGTTTGGGAATGATCATACTTTTAACAGCCTTGTTTTTCTCTGTAATAAATTAATAAAATTAGGAAAGAATCTCTTCAAAAAGGAACAAATACAAAATTTCAGAAATATCTAGTATTTAGATTTAAGGCAAAACTATATTAAAATAGAAATTAATATAACTTCTGGTTCTACAATGAATATGTTTCAAATAATCTAAACTAAACATGAGTTCAACATAGCTTCTCTACAGATGGCAGGCATACACTCTGAGTTTCCTTTGAAAGAATAGTACTGAAGTATTTATCCAGCTGGCAGAGAGAAGGAGTGATAAAAATATGTCTTATTTCTTCTCTCATAGTATGAAAAGTAAGTGAACTTGAGCTATAAAGTCCTATACTCAATGTACCTAATAATTATGGCATTTCTTAAGCTCCTAGATGTTTGATTTGCACCTGTGCTAAAACAGCATCATATATGTGGAACAAAAAATTATTCTCAAATTTACCTCAACCTCAACACAGTATTTAAAAACAGAGCACAATAAATAATCTGTATGAGAAAAATGATTGTGTTGCATTGGCCAACACAGACTATTCTTCCCTTCCCATTCCATCCCATTCGTTTTTTGTTCTCCTTGTTGGCAGTCAACTCAAAAGAAACAATATATAAACTGAATGTTTACCTACTGTACTATTAATTTATGCAGGCTTTGTGATAGGGAAAACCTTACCAACAGTACAGCTGTCTTCAAGTACCACATCAACATTTCTGTCTCTGTATTCAACCCTGAAGTCCAGCATCCGAGGTTGTCTTTCTACAATTTGCCTAGATGGCATTACAGGCCGAAATGCCGAGGAGGAAGAGGGAGCAGGAGCTGGAGCTGGGTGACTTGCTGGGTCAAATGCAGGTCCTGATATAGTTTCACTTCCATAGTCACTGAAATATTAACATTAAAAAAAGGATTATCATCAACCAAATCATTAAGAATTACCACTAAGAACCTGCTCCATACTTGTTTTCTGTTCTTCCTATCAAATTTACCTACCTATACATCCACACCTAACCTTAAGTTCTACTTCCTCCACAAAATCTTTCCAAATGACTGAAGACAACATTATTCTCTGTCCCATCCTCGTTTTTCTATCAGCAGTATCATACATAGCATTTGCAATTAGATTTCTGCCTTATGTTGTTATGATGTTGGTAAAACATTATTTTAAACTCTGAATTAAGAACAGTATCTTTACTCACTCTCAAATAATCATTATTTGCCTAACTCTACTTTTCACAAACACTATTTCAAAACTTCACCTTCCTTAACCCTCCATTCTCCCCATCTCACTCCTCGGTCATAAAAGATATTTTTTCCTACTTTGCAGAGAAAACAGAGGCCATCAAGAGAAAATTCCCTTAAACTTTTTAAAATCAAATCTATAAACTAACCCACATATGCACACTCTTTCTCTTATTATAAAATAGAGAAGACATTGTTCTATCTATGCAAAATCTGAAACCATCTTCTCATTAGCTTAACATTATGGATTATTATCTCTTCCTTTCCAGTATCTTCAACATCTCCTTATCTTGGATTCTTCTCAAAAACATTTAAATATGTTCCAATATTTCCCTTCTTAAAAAATAAAAATAAAATCTTGGTTCTAAGAAAAGTATTATATTTGTAAGGATTAAATCAGATAATGTGCATGAGAGCTTAGCACAATGCCTGGTATCTAATAATATCTCAAGCTCAGTATTATCCAAAGTTGTAACTCATTAATGATCCTTTTCCAATATTACTCATATCAGCTTCCCAAGCCAGAAACCTCTGACATTACTTTGACCCTTTCTTCTCTCTCAACTCCCACATCTAACTAGTCCTTTCAATGTTACCTCTTAAATATCTTTTAGATAAGTCATCCATCCTCCCCCTCTGAAGCTGCCACCCTCCTCTAAGCCACAATCACTTTTTATATTGACTAATGCAAAACTGTCCTAACTAATCTCCCCTGCATGTCACTCCATATCACCACTAGACTGAAGTTAAAGACAGAAATCTCTTCATATCATTTTCTTCATATCATTTTCTTTCAATAGTCCCTCTGCGCTTCATTTAAATAATTAAAGTGGCATACAAGGTCCTGTATGATCTGAACCTATCTACCTTCCCAGTCTTATCTTCTGCTATACTACCTCCATCTCTCTACGCTACTAGCTACAACAGCCTTTCATTTCTTCTGTCTCACCCTGATTGTGTTTCATTGACAAATACAGACTATTCTTTCCTTCCCATCCCATCCCAACCCATCCCCAAATTCCATGTTTTTTCTAGCTAATTGTATTTATCCTTCATATCTCAGGATAAATGTTTATCAATTCGGAACATATTTTACTATCTCAGGCTAGTTCAAATTCCTCACCACTATCAATAACTATGTTTTTAGTTGTATAATTAATCATTTGACATTTAAATCCCCACTAGAATGTAAGCTCCACAAGGGTGAAGCTGACATTGGTATTGTATCCTTTGCCCTGTGCTCAAGATTTTATATATAAAAGGTACTCAAATATTTGACAAATTAATGAGGAATAACAATCAAAGAATTTGGTTTTTCTCTGAGTTAATTTATCATATACTGTCACTTTTTTGTTCTCACTGGGAAAAGTAGAAATGAAGGGAACATATGTATCGCTTCCATTGAAACATCATTATCACAACCAGAACTACAAGCTCAGTCTAAAACATTTTTCTTCTCACCCAGAATTTAAGGAAAAGCAATAAGCTGGAAACCAGAATAGAAACAACAAAAAGAATGACCAAAACATGCCAAGTTAAGCACTGTTCATACAATTAAGCAGGAGAAAATGCTTACATTTACTTCACAATATTGCTTTAATCAGTGTTTACCAAATTATATATTACATAACTGATTTAGTGAATGGTGATATGTCTCTATAGACTAGACTAGAATACAATACAATACAATACAATACAATAGAAATTATAAGGATGTGTCACTTAATACTTAGGACCAAATATTGTTCATCAAACTTTTTATTCTGGTACATATTTGCACATGTGTATTTTTGATTCCAAGTATTCCTCATTATAGGTCACAGTCCAAAAAGTCTGAAAGTGACTAGCTTAGATCTCACCAGATTCAGATACTATAGCAATCATTGATCCACAGACAAAAATCTACCCTTTCTCCCAGTGGTTAGATTCAAGGAAAGTAACCTTGGAAGAAAGATATGGGAACAGAGAAAATGTCCAAAGCAAAAAAGAATGTCACTGTTGGAATCCAAAATGAGCTCCTAAATACCTAACTAAAATCTGTGTGTGCAATGATGATACTTCACATCTCTAAACTTTGTCACAACTTCTCAGAAATCAAAAAAACAGCTAAAGTTAGTAGGCTGTCATTGACTTGTTTATTAACTCCAAATTCACCATTCTATAGTCTATTCTATGATGCTGGAGATAGGATTCTGCAAAATTATATACAGGGTGGAGCAAAAGTAGGTTTACAGTTGTGAGTATGCAAAACACAGTTTGTTCTTGTACTATTATTTATTAACTACTAGAGGCCCGGTGCCGAAATTTGTGCACTGGAATAGGGGAGAGGGTCCCTCAGTCCGTCCTGCGCCCTCTTGCAGTCCAGGAGCCCTCGGGGGATGTCTGACTGCAGCAGAGGCGGGAGAGACTCCCGCCACCACAGCTACACTGGCCAGCTGTGAGCCCAGCTTCTGGCTGAGCGGTACTCCCCCCGTGGGAGCACACTGACCAACAGGGGGCAGCTTCTGCGTTGAGCATCTGCCCCCTGGTGGTCAGTGCACATCATAGTGACCAGTCGTTCCACCATTCGGTCCATTTGCATATTAGCCTTTTATTACATAGGATTGTATTCTTTTCCATACAAATAACTATAAACCTACTTTTGCCCCACCCTATATTTCCCTTTGGCAAATTGTTTCCTGACTGATTCTGCCAACAGGGAAGTCTAAATAAAGATTAGTAATTAGGAAGAGAGGGGGAACAACTTCCTTCCTCCTGTTGCATGCATTTCAATCTGTTTAACCCTCAGCTTCATCTCCTGCTTTTCTTCAGCACTCTTATAACCAACTTCTTGACATCTCCTCAGAGATACCAATAGTAGCTGGGCAGTATGCACTGCAGAGGTCAAATCCTCAGTGCCAAGGACTTCCTCTGAGCTTCAAAATTCTGTTAATCCCTTCATCCCCAGATGTAAGCTGGTCACTTCTGAAGCACTTCTTATATCCATGTTACTTCAGTTTTACTTTTATTGCTCTTTTAGTCTTCTGTGCCTATTTCACTAATACTTCATTAAAATCCTTCTGTTGAAATACCCTAGTGTGGTTTCATTTTCTTGCTAATGGAGATGTCCCAGGAAACATAGGATTCAGGTCCTTGACCTTCAATGCACTGCTGAGCACCTTACCAATGGACAATGGGATACCATAACAGGCACAATAATTAATTAAATTATCACTTATAATTAATTATGGTCACATGCCTTTGAAACAAGTGCCTAAGGGGAACAAATGATGATTTGACTTGACCATTACGGTGGTAATAATGACAACAAGGATTGTGGGCTGGCTGCTTCTGACTCTAATGGAGAGCCTACAGAAGAAAATGGCATATTTAGGGGTTTTAACTTTCACTTCAAGTCATGATAAGAATGTTACAGAGCTTCTTAAGTGGCCCTTTAAAAAGTTTCTGCCCTAGCCAGTTTGGCTCAGTGGAAGGGTCCCAGGTTTGATTCTGGTGGCAGGGTCAGTCCCACCCCAATCAGGGTTGGGGCCCATGTGGGAGGGCAACCACTCAATGTGTCTCTCTCACATTGATGTTTCTCTCTCAGTGTCTCTCCCTGCCTCTTCCACCGTCTAAAATCAATGGAAAAATATCATCAGGTGAGGATTAACAAAACAAACAAAGAAGTTTCTTATTTCTGTAATCACATGTATGATCCTGCTGAGAACTAGACCCAAATTTTAATTTTGCAGCTTGCATAATTACAATGAAAGTTGAATATACAATTTGTAAGTCTCTTTGTAAAAGTTAAGGCACTGTTTTGGAAGGAGTGGGACCCTAAGATGTGAAATGGGGATACCTGAGTGCACTCGAATGGTTAGAATATTGAATCCCTGGAGTCTCTCTGAATTTCTTTTGTAAGAAGAAACAGCTCCTCCTCCCATGACTGAAAAGGTTAGCCCACCTTTGACTGAAAACTGTCAATACCCTTACCTGCAACACTTGCCTTGAAATGGATACCTACTCTCAAAACCCACCCCCACCATTCCTTATTGCCTCCAAAATCAGATCTAGGCATGCTCCAAGAAAACAAGTACAATGTCTTAACTGAGAGAAGAAAGCTTATATCCAAAAATAATTATAAGATTTTTTCATAAATTACATCCACAAAAACCTAGGGATTAGGTATGAAAATGAATTTGAAGTGAGTCTGATCATAAGGTTTGGATAGGGCCAAATAACATGTTTGCTTAAGCAGCTTCAAGTACCTCTAATAGTTTGCTTGTTCACTGAGTAAAACTTAAGTCCCAAAGGAGTCTCCATTGAATAAGGATGAATGCCCAAACTTGCCTGGCAAAATGGAGAAGAAATCCAGATGCTTAGAAAAATACAAATGCTCAAGTAGATTTATCATGTACAACCTGATTATAGACACATCCTCTACCACACTGTCCATGAGATCCCAGAAGACACTGCAGTAAAGTATTGAGAAATACATTAGTAAGGGAATCTGCATTCTTGAAAAACCCTGTAGTAGCTATCTTCTCTGGGTTGGGAATGACATGGCACCACTGAAAAAGACTCCCTAGTGAGCGTGATCTCAGAGTGCAGAAATCAAATGGCAGAATTTAATAAGAAAGAGGTGGAAGCCCTAACCAGTTTG